TGCTTTTTTGTCCACATTTCACAGAAATCAGCATGAAAGATTTTACATTTCGCAAGCCATTTGCTAGTAAGGGGCTTTGAGCCGTTCAGAAAGTGAAGGGTAGATCAAGGAGCGAGAAGTCAATATAACAAGCACGTTAGTGTCAATTAGTGCAAGTGAATGTGTGGATGCCAGACCCTGGGAGAAAACAGCAGTACGAGTTTGTGTGTGTGTGTGTGTGTGTGTGTGTGTGTGTGTGTGTATGTGTATGTGTAGACAGGGTTCTTACACATCTTTACACATCTTCAAACCCTATGTTCCCTCAAGATCGCTGCGCTCTGCATGTGCAGGGCAGCTGACTGTCCTGTCCCAATGGGGTCGCTCTTCTCAGACACGATGGGTGTTCATTCCACGCCTGAGACTTCTCAGGCGTGGAATGAACTCCCCATGGAGGTTAGGACAGCGGAATTGCTGGCCATCCTCTGATGCAGACTGAAGACCCACCTCTTCAGACTGCACCTCGGTTCCACTTCAATCCCCGGCCCTAACACCGGATACCTCTAGCATTTGATACTTATTTTACGTGTAGTATTGTGATGTATTTTGGATTGTGTTCTGGGGACTGTTGTATCATAGTATACTTGGTTTCTATAAGAGTGCACAAGTTAACCTGTGGTAGGGCTCGAATAGTGTTATGCTCACACTCACTGGTGTGGGAGTGTTGTTAGCCTGGTCTGATGCTGTTGCTCCTTAAATTGAATGGATACACTTATGTTCTATTGTGCTGGAAGTCGCTCTGGATAAGAGCATCTGCTAAATGCATGTAAAGTAATCTTCAGCAGTGTAGCATAGTGGTTAAGGACCAGCACTTGTAAAGCTTGCTGGTTCAATTCCCCACTAGGGCACTGCTGTTGTACTCTTGGGTAAGGTACTTAACCCACAGTTGCCACAGTAAATATCCAGCTGTTTAAATGGATAACATAAAAATTGTAGCCTATGCAAGTCACTCTGGACAAGAGCATCTGCTAAATGCCAATAATGTAATTTCCTGAAACTCCTTTCCCCTTGCCTAACTAAATCTGTCTGGCAACTTTCCATATTTGACTGGGGAATGACATGCCTGTCAGATCTATTCACATGTAACCCTTCCTACTGTACATGTAGGTTAGGTGACAGGAGATGGCTGTACCTTCTCACTCTAGGTACCTTGCTAATAATGGTATAGGAAGTAAGGCGTCACTGAGCTCTTACTGTATATCGCTGGAAGAAAGAGAACATTTATCTGAAAGAAAGAAATATCTCACATCAACAACATATTCACCATGCACAAACTGTACATCCATGTACTCAGATGAAGTATGTCTACTCCCTGTTTAGAGTATTAGTGATCAGACACCTACACATGGAGAAACTTCCTCTTAAAAAGTTACAGACTTGCTGTGACTTGAGAGTATTATTTTCACTCAAGGAAATGTTATAAACATATTGTGCACACAGTATCCAATGTTAAATTTTGACATGGTGCCTCCCATCTGAGTGCATTTGGCACCATACCCAAATCAATTCAGATGCTGAATTCTTTATTTACACAGACAAATGTTGCCACACTGTTTTTAATTCATTACAGTCTGACTGCAGGGTCCAGCATTCTCAAAACATTTGCAAAACATGCAATAGCCTAGCTTCTTTCATCAGCTTCACCTCAGTGTTTGTGAGCATGAGAAGGTGAATCTGTGCAGGCATTAGACAGTTGGATAGCTAGTTAATTGGCCACACCTCCCAATTGCAAAGCCGGGATGGGAGATATTGCAAATATTTGGAAGGGGGAGGGCAAGGATACAGCAGGGAGGTCTGAGCTGAATTCATGTGTGCTGTGTTTACACATGTTTAGTCCTTCATTTATTCTTTTCTATAACCGTATTTTGTGTGCATTTACATGTTTTACTTATCTTGATTATAATAAATGATTAATGTTCTATCCTCCATTCCTGTGTTTTTAACGAAATCTTGTGTGTTTGAAGTAGTACACCAGCTTCCTCATGTCACTGCAATATATTAAAATTGTTTGTGTACAGTTGTGTGCGTATTGATGTGCTGTCGCATTTGGGCTTGTTGTCAGAGGTTGCTTTTTTCATATCGGTTACTGTAATCTGATCACAGGTCTTTGCACTCAAATGAGCTACCATTAGTTCAGTTTTTATTATTGGCTCCGTTGGGAAAGGAATGCAGGAAGGCAAATGGGAGAAGTTACGCATACAGTATTAGAGGTTTCACGCGCACACACACACATACACATACACACACGCACACACGCGCACATTATCCATTTAACACGCAGCTCCCGTTACACACAGCGATTAAAGCTCATGGTCATATCACGCTCAGGCTTCAGAGAGGCTAACGCCAAACTCAGCAGAGGGCCTGGGTTAGGCTGATCCCTGGGGAGAGAGACCTGCAGCGTGAGCTTTTCAATTAGGAACAAATTAATATCGGGAGGATATCTGCAAGTCGGTAATGAAGCCCTTTGGTGAGAGAGGCAGCGGGAAGGCCTGGTTTGCCCGGCTTTGGTACTGCACACCGAGGCCCGCTAACCCCCACGATCTCCCGCTCTGTGCGGCACCAGCGGCAGCCAATGGGAGCTGTGAAAGGGTCGCGCTGCTCAGCGAAACAGCACGGCGGCCTCCGCCTCCTGGGCCCGGCCAGTTGCCATGGTTGCCCCTCTCTCTGCTCGCATCAGCTGCACCAGCAAGCGGCTTCTTTTTTGGAGCATTGTTTGTGTTTTTCCCCTCACATTCCCTCAGTGCCCCCCCTCAACACAGACACACACACACACGCTCTCACACACACACACACAACTCCCGCCCTCCATGTCAGCGCCTGCTGTACTGTCCGTTGAGTCTGGAGAAGCAGCAGCTGGACTCTGTGTGGCTGTGTGAAGGACTCTCATCTCGTTTGTGTGCACACATGTGGAAGAGTGAGAGGCTGAGGGATTCTGTGTCGGTGTGCAGTGCCTGTGAACGCGGTTTCAACGCTCAGGGTGTGTGAGAGGTGAAGGAGTGTGGTGCGCGTCTGTCCTGTGTGTCACTACCGCAATGACATGAGCAGCACACATATGTGCACACAAGCATGTGCACGCATGCACACACACACGCACACACACACGCACACGCACACGCACGCACGCACGCATGCACACACACACGTACACACACGCACACACGCACACGCACACACACGCACACACGCATGCACACACACACGCACACACACACACACACACACACACGCACGCACGCACACACGCACACGCACACACACAGACACGCACGCACACACACCCTTGATTCCTACATGATCATCCCTCTCTGCTGCATCTGGTGAAGCCTCTTCCATATGTAGAAAGTGCCCCCTGTTCACACCCCATTGATTCAGACGTGGACAGACATGCCCGCCACGCAGGGATTGCAGTCTGTTTCAGCAGGGAGCAGATTCCAGGCAGTTTGGCACGCACTAAATTAGATGAGGTAGCAGTGCTTTAATCTTGCCTGAGCTGTAATTTTGCTTGAGTCATGAAGGACAGACTTATTGTTTCACTTTTTTTCTCCTCGTTCTTCCTGTCTTTCTGATCCCTGTCACCCCCCCACTGTCTTTCCTCTCATTCTTCTTTTCTTTCTACATCTCTCATACTTTTCCGTTTCTCTCTTCTCTTTCACTATCATCTACCTCCTCATTCTCTCTCTACATCTCTCTCTCTCTACCTCCTCATTCTCTCTCTACATCTCTCTACCTCCTCCTTCTTTCTCCTTTCACTCTCACTCTCTACCTCCTTCTTCTCTCCCTTCCCGTTCACTCTCTGCCTCCCCATCTTCCCATTCCTCTCCCCCTCTCTCTCTCGTTCTCCTTCTCTGTCATCCTCTCCATCCATTTGCCCAGCTGCCTGCCCAGTCCCAGCCCATAATGCAGGTTTGCCTCCCTTTTTTTACATTTTAAGAAACACTCTAATGAAACATCTTAAGGAGCACTCCCTGCTTCTCTCCCATCCGTTACTACAGCAACCGTTGAGCGGTACCCTCCCCCCTTCCCCCTCTCTCCAGCAGCTCCCAGAGTGAGCGTGAGGTGCATGCAACAGAATCTCGGAATCCCCACCAAAAACTGTTTTTAACCCTTGCAGTGGCATTGTTAAGAGGACAGAGGAGGGACCGCAGGGGTAAAAGAGTGGAATGCCTGCACACGCCCAGACGTGGAGGCAGGCCTTAAGACTGAGGGGTCAGACAGCACCCTCCTCATTTAGGAATGGATCTCAGATATACTCACACTGATATGATCTGACAGGAAGAGTTAGTGACTGTGGAATGACCCAGGCACTGCAGGGGAGTGTAGAATGTAATTGTATGCTTCGTATGTCAACAGTTTATAATGTTGAATATTGGGAAAGACTGATAAAAGATACTATAGTAGGTAAGGATACTCCACTGACATCATAGGAGCTGCTCACAGAAGCCTGATAAACGGCAGGGATCCTGAAAGCAGTGGGATGAGGAATCCCCGGTTGACCCTGCGCACCCCTGTCCCCCGTGGAAAAGCCAGCGTGTCCTGTCACTGTGATATCTCAGCAATTTTCAGCAACTGACATGACCAGTTTGAATCCTGGGCCATAGGGCTCAGCTTGCACTCAAAGCAAACGCTGTGCTGACTGATCCACTCTGGACCCTTTAGCCCTCCCTACCCTGAACAATAATGACTCTCACCCACCTCATTAGCGGGAACTTCAATGCAGGTGTACTGAGCTATGTAGTTAGATGAGTTGCAGCTTTTGCAACTTTATGATTTCCTGGGGTTTTCACACAATTTTTAAAGTAAATTGTTTTTAGTTTTTGCAATTTTTTTTCCCCCTCCTGTGTTTTTATGGGTGCATCCCCATGCCCTCTGCTGTATGTGAATCAGGTACTTGGTAGTGCAGCTCTGAGGGGCCCTATAACTGCAGTGTATAACAAACTCCCTGCAGTGAAGGGAGAGAGCAGTCACCCCACCTGGCCTTGAACCTGGGTCTACGGGGTACCAAACTGCAGCTTTGACCGCAACGCCAAAGAGCCGGGCTCGTTGGTATAGCAGTCAGAGCGCATACTCAACCGTAGTGACGGCTCTCCGTCACACTCCCCCATGTTGTTAAATGACCTCACGTGCAAGCTTCCTCCTCACTGACCTGAAGAGTCAACAGTCTCATGACGTACTGATCACAAATGGTCCACATCTCCTATTTCTAGGTAGATTAAAGTCCCCCTCTTCCGCAAAAACATATTCATGTGGAGCTACAATGACATCCATTACAGAATATTTTCAAATCTGTTATACCCCATTTAAATTATGATACTGGGAACAGTTGTTGTTTATCATGCATCTATTCACCTGGTAGGTGAAATGTGTTATTTTACACCTGATGTGAGGAGGAGGTGAAGGAACGCTTGTTTTTGCTGTTTTTGTGCTTGTGGTGAGATGGCAAGGGTAACCTCCTCAGAAGTGGCTTCATGTTTTCTTTACTGTAATTGAATTTTTCATATATTGCAGGACTCCACAATAGCATTTTAAAATCATAGGATTCATCTGATTCGTAATGGATGTTTTTTTTTTTTTCTTCACACTCACAGGCCACGTATGAAGCTCCTAAGGGCTACATGAGACCTCATGTTTGCTGTCCCTGGTACAGGAGAATGAATTTAGGATTTAAGGACTGTAGGCTGTAAGTAAGGAGATACAGGCCGTGAGTATACAAGAGCATGGCAAATATTCATAATCTGAAAGTAAGGTCTGTAACCCTAAACCCTAACCCTAACACTGTCAGAGACCTAAAACTGCCATAGTGCAAATCCAGTTATTACTGACATTACCATACTTCATCCATTTCCTTCACTCAGATTACATTTCTTAATTGACAGCAGAACCCACCAATCACATTGGTGGCACATGTGCATTATGGGCACATTGTGATTGGATTTGAATGTCTGCAGTACAGACCTGGCCAACGGCGAGACAGATACAGCCACAAGGATGCTTACTTACCCAGTGGCCAGATAGTAACCTTCAGGGACACGGATGAGAATTTTTTTGCATTGCTGACCCAGTCAGTGGAGATATGGACACTTTAAAGGACATAATATAACTCATCCTGCGTGTACTAAGATAGAACAAAAGTGTCTTCCTGTCAAAGTTCAGTGGTCTTATCACGGAGAACAGAGGGCAAGAGAGCTGATGCGCTTTCAGCAGTAAAAGGAGTTGTAACATTATATTACTGGCTCTGAAGATGACATTTTCATGGTGAGGGCATTGCTTGCTTCAAAGGCTGTGATAAGGTATACCAAAACTGACACCAAAAAAAAAAACAATTAAATAGACCACCACAAAGTATCAGTTCTTCAAGGTGTTCTCCAACTTCAATCAGTCTTGCACAAAGACCTCCTCCCTTTGAGCTTGCTCCCCTTGTAAACACCTTTGGTCGAACACTCCCCTCAGACTTGTTTGAAGTCAAAGACATGCAGGTGCTGCACATTTCCACGGCAACACAACATCCAGAGATCTTTACATTAGGACTGTGCACGGCTGTTAGTTCCGGCTATTGTAAAGCAGTTGGGTCTGGTTATAGGGGACTGTAGGGGTGTGTTTTCATGCCGATTAATGGAAAAATATCTCTCTTCCCTCACTATAAACATCCTTGTTATTTGCAAATGGTTCAAACAGGCTTCATAAAAATGCGTTTTGAGTATTTTGATACAAATGTGTTACGTGTGAAACATTATGACCATTTCATCTTCTTTAAATCTTTGAGACTGGTCATAACTGTATTGAAACTAAATAAAAAATGTTTCCCCATGATTACTAGTATGAATATTGATTTTACAAAAGATGTTTCTTGTGGAGTGCAACACAAAATTTAAATAAACTTAAATTGGCTTGAGAATTTTCATTGTTAAAGCATTATATTTTGAGACATTACGGAGCACAGAGCTGAAGCCAGAAATCCTGGTATTAAAACAGTTCATTTAATATATTTATCCAGTTTAAGATTGCCTTCTTAAATTATGGGGTGTTAGTATAGGAACAGTGTGTAAGTTAGACAGCCTCACTGACATAAACAATCACTCTTTTTCAAACACAGCACCAAATGTACCATCAGGCAGCACGCCCATTAAACATTCATGCTCAAAGAAGTACTCGCTTTTTAGGGTCAAGTGTACTCTAAAGCACAAGTGTCATCATTAGGTGGCCTGAGATGTCACGTGTCACACGAGTTTACTGGGTGAAGTGCAGGTCCACACAGAACAGAGAGCTCAGCATCCTCTCAGCAAAAAGATGCCAGAGGGACGATGCCATTTTCTACCCAGGTTCCCTACCCCACTTTCGGCTGTGGTCTGTGGGTTCATGAATGCTAATCCCCGTTTAATTTCAGCAAAGACCCCGCAGCACCCCAGGATGGGTCCTGACCGAGCTCCCAGTTTCTGAATCATTGATAAACCCATTTGTTCCTCTCCCAGCTCTCCCCCTCCTCACAGCTGCCCTGTCAAGCCGTAATTAATACCCCTGGAATTCCACCGCTCAGGGGCGGAAAGGCCGCATCGGTCTCTAAAACACAATCAATACTCCCCCGCTCTTATTTAATGTATATGCGACCAAACGCCAGGCGGTCGGCCATTTCAAAGCACGGTGGAAGCGAACGCTTGCTGTGGGTTTGATGTTTTAAGACGTCTGCGCTTGGCAGCTTCAAACGCCTCGCCCACGTTTGCCAGCCGTGTCCGTCTTCCCGTTCACCTGGGCTCTGGTTCGCGGACTCCGTATCTCAGAGGGTTTGTGTTAATTGAATCGTGTCTGTGCTGCAGAGTGAGCTCGGGTGGTCGTTTCCTGATCAGACTTTCAGGGACCTGAATAAGCGAAAACACCCCCTTGTGTGGATGTTGTTTGCTGCTGACCTGCAAAATCAATGTGTTTTCTCTGAACACACTCAGTGCGAGCTGGATGGAGAGAAGAGAAACACACTTTCAAAACACATCAATCCTTACAATGTGCTCCACATTATGGAGTATTTAGCTGATGAAGCTGCATTAGCCTCAGACATAATTAATTTGGGGTGCATTTTATGTAAGATGTAATTAACCCATAGCAAAGATGTCCTGTGGTCTGACAACATTATTTTCCAGAACAGCAAGCATGAACAGTTTTATTAATTGTCCTTCCTTTTTTTTTAAGAACTTAAGCTAAGAGCGTCCAAATCTGCATTTGAAAGTGTTCAATATGAGGTTTGAAGTGATGAAGTCAGAAATGCCATTTATGACAGATCATTCCCACTACATAGGAAATGATCCATTTTGTACCAGATGTTCCTCTAAAAAGCAGAAAAAACATTGTTTTCATTATGAAAACCTCAAATCTATGAAAAGAATAAGTCATTACCCTAATTTCACAACTGCTGTCACACCATATTGGGCCACTGTCCCAGCCCTACACAACAAACTTTAGTTTCAGATGTGTTTACTCCCAGTGTTAATGGTGGGAAAGAAAGCTAAGCGACAGGAAGGATTTAACCATGAATACTTTCCATCTTTCTGTTATAAATCCCTGGATCATCAGGCTATGAGGAATGAACATGTTGTAAGTGCTCGGTCATGTAATTAAGTTTGGTTATGGGATCATGGATGCAGCTCACAAGTTCAGTGCTTTCTTTCCTTTTTTGAAGCCCCAAAGTTTGTTCCACACTAAATGATCTGTTGATTTCAAACTAATAGGTTAAAATGTATAATACCATTAAGATGGTTCTTGATAGGATTTGATATGTCCATTATGAAAACAGAAGCCATTAACTGCACATACACACCTATAGCTATGGTGAGAATCGTGAATGTGACATTATCCAACAGGAGGCACAATTGTGTTAAAAATCCTTTAAACCTTTTTTTTTGATATTGAATAAAAATGCTCATGTGGTCATGTTTATAGATCTGTCTAGCTTTCTTAAGGTTAAGAAGTATTTTAATATTGCTCGAGGTTCTGTGTTTTGATCCAATTGCTGCAGAGTTTCAAATGGGAACACAGTTTGGGGATACAATTCAAGGCAAAATCTTATTTGGCCATGCAATGTTTTATACCGAGCCTCTGTGATTGGTCTTGGAAAGAAATAATGAGAGTCTGTCCTGATTTGCCTTGCATGTCTGAAGAGTCCAAAATACAATAATTTATTTTCCAAAAAACAAACTGATGCAATCCACATTGAGCAGATTTATGAAATATATATTCATGTTCAATAACAAATCATCTTGTACACGGTGGTTCAAAAAAGGGCTAGAGGTTTTCTAGAGGTTTTTATGACAAGGAGTTTTCTATGTGAAGAAGATGGCCTGGAAGCTTTGAATCCAAGGTATTGTTCAGCATTGGCCTGTAAGACTCCAAAGGTCAGACTCTCCTCCTGGCCAGAGGATAATAACATTCTCACTGTCTCCAGAAGTCAATGTGATGACCTAGTAACCTTTGCTGTTTCAAATGCAGCTTTGCTGTTCGTTTTGAATGAAATTAACAGGTTTATTAGTCGGTAAAGTTCATTGTCTATTTGACTTTTATTAGCAAACATCTGTCCATTCTCTGTTCACATCAGACTCAAAAGCCAGTTAAGAAGGCCCGGCTACCAGCTCCAGTAAGAAGCCAGTGGGATACTAGCTAATAAGATGAAACACCTCCAGGGAATAAGGCTCTGATAAAAGTGAGTTAATTCTCTATTTATGAGGCAGTTGAGGCCCTTTTCCCATAATGTGGGAGATTCCATTAAGATATCTGAACCCATTTTATTGTTTTATAATGGTTCAAGAATCAAATAAATGACAAATGCAGAGTTTTCATTCGGAGGAGTGGAAGATCAAAAGCCGCGGAACCGCACATAAAAAGAGAACAAAAAGTATGATTAAAAACCATTTTAACAGATACAAAGGCAGAGCTTGATCTGTAAGTCAGTCTGGCTGGGGATAGTGTGTGCGTTCCAGCTCCCAGCTTGATGGCTCAGGAGCTTTCTGGAGCCCAGGAGGGGACAGCTGACCTTGCCATCCACCCATCCTTGTGT